TACAGGAGGTCCCGTGATGTGGACTCTCAAGAGGAAGGAGTAAAAAGGGTGGTGTCCCAAAGGAGAGTCTCCTGTCAGCCTATATTAGGACACAGAAGTTCCAAAAATGATTTTTATGAAAAGGCCTGCTGCGAAAGACCGTTCACTTTGGATGTCTATCTTCATATGTGTCTTTAGGGTGATTCTGGCTGCCAGATGTCACCTAATATGTATGCACAGGGCTGACTCGTTATATGACAGGGCAGGCAGAAGTGCCCTTTTCCTTCTTCACTGTCCTTATGTGCATTCCAGGCTGCAGTTGCCCCATTGGTCAGAGAGACAAGAACCCTTTTTCAGATAAAGGAACGCGAGGGGCTTTAAAATGAAATGCAGTAAGAGAAAGGACAAACAGTAATCAAGCTGGTTAGAGTTAGTTGTTTATAATCTGATGTCAGAAACATCAGAGATTCAAAGGCTGGGTAGTATGGATTCAAGTCTATACTCAGCATATCTTTTGAGCTTCACAACCTTAAAGTCCATCCTTGGAGCTTTTTGATACTAAAATAAATTGTGATGGTAAATCAGTACAAGTTTTCACAATGTAAAGGTATCTAAAAGCAAACAAAATAATCAGTACACATTAATTATGAGTTACTGCTTTTTTTGAATACAAATACCTGAAACCACATAGTGGGTCGAAGAAGTTGCTGGTGGTGATGAAATAACCCTAAAAACTCGCTGCTTTCCAGCAGAATGCATGACAGTTAATGGACATGCTTGCTAGCTGTGGGAAATTGTGCAGGAGTACAAGAGAGTAATAAGGTAGGCCTTGCAGGATCTGTTTCCTGAAAAAAAATAGACAGCTTAATTCTCCAGAATTTTTTCCTTAAAAGACGTATGTACTAAATTCATTCTTTCTGAAGTTGATGGCCCTAATCAGGGTATTCCGTCATATCAGAACCCAGTTATGTATAAGGAAGCAACGTATGGTAAACTCTCATATTGAGGTGTATTAGGTGTGACTTTTTCGTTATTCACTATGTTTAACTAATTTATGTCCACCTCAGACAGTATAGTGTGTGATTTTACTATCCATAGGAGATTGTCTTTGGTGGTAATTTCTGTAGCTCCACGGGTATCAGGTTCTAGCCTGTAGCCTCTATGGGAAACAGCGCCTTTGTTGGCCCAAGCCTGAATCTTTAGTTTATTTTGTTTCCAATCACAGACTGGAGGTTTCAGGGTGGGGGTGGGGGGCTCATATGATACTCAAACTAGAAATAGAAGGACAATTATAAATATCTTGTCTAAACCCTCATGTTATTGTCCCGGAAACTGAGTTGTAAGCATCACAGAGCTAGTTAACTGCTTAGTGGGGGCCTTGGGATTGGAAGCTGGGTCTCCAGGTTGATTCTCAGTTCAATGTTTTCTTATTTTTGTCGGGAATAATAACTCTTCATTTAAAGAATCAAACTGGGCCTGGAGACCTAGATTGTAGTCAGACCACGGTCTGCTAGTAACAGCCCGTGTGATCCTGGGCAAGGTGGTTGACCTCTTTGGGCCTCTGCTGATGAACAGTGCTTCCCAGTTTGGATGTTGGGATTCGGTTAAAAAAATTAATTTGGCAGCTTTCTGAATTTTTAAGCAAGGACATTTAAAACCAAGCATGCTATCTTTTTGTAAAGGACTTATCACCAAAAAAAGTATAAGTATAGCCTTTAAATGGAATGAATTTAGTTTTATGATGTGGCTTGAGCAAATCAACATTCCAGTGAGGTTTTATGAACCCTTCACTGCGCTGATCTCACTTTTCTCATTTTGACGTGGGTCTGTGAACTTCATCATCTCTAGGCAGGAGCTCCCCATCCTTTGGGAACCACTGGACACATCCCTCGAGTTCTTGAGCCCAGAAGTTTATAATCCTGTCGCTGTATATAAACAAAAATGCGTTTATGTTCTAGAATAATGCCACCAGGTAACTGTTTACCTGTGTGATGGAAGAGCCCAGTGTTGATGTGTGCCGCTCCTTTTAAAGGTCAGGTGGCCAGCTGTAATCTTACCACAATGCATTCTTCCTTCTCTGGAACTTACAGTAAAAGATATGAATGATTTGTGGGCAGCAAAGATTGGGGAGTTGTTTCATCTCTAGAACTTCTTTGGTTTGTTTGAAAATCTTTATGCTGGGTTGTTTATTAAGTTTCTTCATCTTCTTAAAGTGGTGATAATAGTTGTTAAGTATATAGAAGAGATGGTTGTTGTGACTCCTGGGCCTTAGAGTAACACAGAATTATAATCCCATATAAACATTAAATAAAAATTAGGAGTTCACTTCTAATTGTCAAGCTAGACTACTGATAGCAGAGGTCAACATTAAGGATTGTGATTTTTCTCCACAGGACAAGCCAGAATCACTGGAAAACCAGTGGAAATGTTTTAAAATGCTTCTCTTTAATCACTTGTGTATCCAGCTGCCTTTGACTTTTGGAACCTATTATTTTGCAGAGCATTTCAATATTCCTTATGATTGGGAAAAAATGCCAAGATGGTATGTAAATAAAAATTTGACTTTTATACTCAATCATAATTTATTACCCAATTAAAATATAAACACTAACCAATTTCGTTATTAAATAACCAGTTACAATAGCAATAACAGTAAACCAATAACCATTTGCCATCAAATTGACCCAACTCATGGAGACCTCATATGTGTCAGAGTAGAAGTGTGCTCCATAGATTTTCAATGGCTGACTTTTCAGAAGTAGATTGCCAGGACCTTCTTCCAAGGTGCCTCAGGGTGGACTTGAGCCACCAACCCTTCGCTTAGCAGTGGAGCTCCTAACTGTTTGCTCTACCCAGGAACTCCAATTAACATATACATAATATTTGTCTTTTTTTATTTGATTACTGCTTGTTTGATGTAAACTTTGGAAGTAAATAAAATGTACAAAAGTAAACCATAACAGAAACTTAAAATGTTTCCATTTTTGTACCTTTCTTTGTTCTAATGTAATATTTTATTGGAAGGTAAGTTTTTAGGATCAGAAGTTTCCATAGCATCCTTTATATCATTGTCTACAGATACACATGCTTATATTGAACAGAAGAGAACTGATATTTAAAGACAGTAATTACTGGAAAAACATTAAATTTTAAGTCTAGAATAAATGAAATAATTAAAGAATAATTTTTGAAGTATGTAAAACTGTGCCCATATAAACATAAATATATATTACCTGAGTGCAAATATTTGTTTTCAAATAATATTTGTATTCAACTCCCTGTACCTGATATTACCTGAGTATGTTGTTGTTGTTAGGTGCCATCGAGTCAGTTCTGACTCATACACAATAGAACGAAACACTGCCCAGTCCTGCGCCATCCCCACAATCGTTGTTATGCTTGAACCCATTGTTGCAGCCACTGTGTCAGTCCATCTCATTGAGGGTCTTCCTCTTTTTCACTGATCATCTTCTTTACCAGGCATGATGTCCTTCTCCAGGGACTGATCCCTCCTGACAACATGTCCAGAGTATGTGAGATGCAGTCTCACTGTCCTTGCTTCCAAGCAGCATTCTGGCTGTACTTCTTCCAAGACAGATTTGTTTGTTCTTTTGGCAGTCCATGGTATACTCAATATTCTTCGCCAACACCACAATTCAAGGGCGTCAATTCTTCTTCGGTCTTCCGTAATCTGGTCCAGCTTTCGAATGCATACAAGGCAATGGAAAACACCATGGCTTGGGTCAGGCATACTTTAGTCTT